ATTAGTAAGTAAATAATTAATTAATATTAGTAAATAATTAAATAATATGTGACTGTCAACACTAGAAGATTGACCACCACCATTACTACCAAAAGTTCCACGACCTTCCGTATTAGTCATCAATCACCGACTGCCATTTTAACCACGCACGTCTTGCGACACATGGTTTCATCTTAAAACGAGGCATCTTCAAGCAAATGATTAGATCGTTGTCAGAGCATAATGTTAACCGTTCAGCACCCAAACTGCGAATAGGACTAATAAAGGAATTAAACAAAAGAATTTTAATCAAATAATAAGAAATGGAAGGTTTAAAAAGACCGTTTTGATCTTTATATAAGAAGGACAGACTAAAATGTCCTTTCAATTTTACTGATACGACAGAATGAATAAAAATAATGTAATTTTTATTTGTTCTTCACGGATCAACGACTCCACTGTCTTTATCGTTAATTTACATATTATTATTATGATGATAATATGTCGAATAATAATGATTAATTTTTTTTAACAGATATAAAATGTATTGTAGATATCAAAACATTTTTACAGAGGCGTCTGTGTCATTGTTTTATTAACTGGTATAAATTAAATAAGTACACGTGACAGTCATAAATCGTCCGACTTATGACTTTATTACGTTTGCTACTGCAAAAATAAAATCCTTTCTTACCAGAGGGAGGCTTTGTACAAAAGTCGATTGCTTGGGTACCTCTGTCCCATTCGTGTTTCAACCGTGAAGCAGCTGTGTTTGCATGGCTGTGTTTTGGTTTGAAGGGTGAGTTTATTGGGTACAGAGGAATAACATCTGATCCTTAGGAATGGCAACGCATGGGGGGTATCATGGGCGAAACAGTATGCTCTGCTGCTCATGTTTATAGGCGACGGTTACCACTTTCCATCAGGTGGGCCGTCAGCTTGTTTGCCAATCTAAGTTGTTTAAAAATAAAATAAAAAATATATATATTCAGAGAGATGATACCCAATGCTTTTCGTGAGGAGAAGGGAAAATATACCCTTTTTCAATGGGTGGAATTGGATGGGTAACCCTGCCAGCGCTATCTGTATACACTGACGGGGAACCAGTGAAAGCTAAGGATGAAAGCAGAAAAGTTATCCGTTTGGGGGTCGACTTGGTCGGGCATGTTGCTAGCAATGGGACCGTTAGAGCCCATTACTGATAATCCTCTTTCCTCCAGTACACACTGTTAGGTCGACCTCCACTTGATTTCTATTTAAAATCATCGTAAGTTAATTCCTGGTGAATTCGTGACAATGAGTCAACTGATCTGCATTCATCCTTCTCTATCATAATACACTGGTACCCTACCAGCATATATCTAACGACATTTTAGGTTGGGTTACTGTTTGATTTTTATCCTATAAAAATCGCTATTCGTGGTCTTTTGGACAACAACCTGTTAGTATTTCATAAGAAAGATCATGTGCATAACATTCTTTTATCAAAAATATTTTTAATATAAATAATTTTCAATCATATTACGTTTATGTTACGTAGTTATATGAGTTCAGGATAGAAGCCGATGCTAGTCTTTCATATCCGTGGAAATTGAAGTTTTACATATGAGTTCCGTCTGTGCAAAGCTATCTTTGTTGTACCCATAGGAATTTCTATTGTAGCCTAATTTTATTGTAACCTGTACAGTTTAAATCTTTGCTTATATATTGTTTCAAATATTTATTTTAATACGTAGTATGTAATCTGTATAATTAATAATACTGCCGTGATATTGCGGTGCTGCCGTGATGATCCCGGTATAGAATACACAAAAAGGGTCCCTTTCTGTCCTATGGGTGTCGTAAGAGACGACTAAGGAAACTTAATGGTTGGATGAGGGGCAGCAAGGTCCTTCTTAAATCAAAGTCTAACTGCGGTTGCCTAGGGGGGAGGAATTATTAATAACGGAAACTAAGGGCCCCATTGATTGCAATATATCCAACCAGGTCGACCTCCACGTGGTCCCTCCTGGAAACAATCGTACTGAATCCCAAGTGTATTCATCACGATGGGCTAACTGACCTGCCTTTTCATCCTCCCCTATCATCACTCACTGGTGCCCCGCTAGTGTATACCTATAGCGCAGACGGGGTTACAGTCCCATCATCGCACATTAAGAAAAAAACTGCGATTGCCTGTCTACGTACCAAGTGTGGGAAATATTAGAAATAACCTCATTATGGGGGAGACCGATGTCCAGCAGTGTATAGTAAACGGCTGTATATGTTTGCCCATTCTATACCGAGACCCCACGGCGTTACATTTGTGGTTTACGTTTAATTCAAATTACTCAGTTTCAAGTGGGTATATTCGTTAAATACCTTAACAACAATATTTCGAACACAGTAACAGAATTATAAAAAAAAAAAACTATTTATGGGAATAAAAATTATTTCTATTCTATTCTGTTCTATTCTTATATACCTTGTTGAATATATACTAGTTCTTATTATATATAATATATATTTATTATATATATTATCCAAATGTATAATGTGTGATGCAAACGAAACATTCTCTCTCTATATTTTGTATGCAGAATATAAATGCTTTTAACTCTAATTAACGCGATAAGAGTCGCGTACCTACACCGCCATTGATAACAGCACGCTCGTATTTTGATAACATCCAACTACGTAACGTAAGGTGATCATTTACATGTGACATCTGAGTGTAAACGGTTTCAGAAGTGAAAACAGTATGTACAAAAATATTTACTCATTCACATTTTTGTACACTGTAATAAAATAAATCTTTTATACAGGTTGAATTAAATTTTTAACATTCTTTTGTTAAGAGAGTATTTAAGGAGCTGAACATTATTTCCCAAAGGACACGGTTCGAAAAATATAAAAGTGTGTTTTTAAGTTATTTTGCACCTATACTCCTAGTAACAAATTTTGTGCTAATTATTACAAAACAGTTCGAGTGTTCAATATTTTGATTACAATGTAATTTAATAGTGTCTCTATGATTAGTATACATATACGAACGTCGATTTATACTTCTACATTGCTTCATTATAAATGTAAGTTTTAAATCTAAGCATTTTCATATATCATATGATATGGAGAAGGCATATGTTCAGCAGTGGACAGATATAATGATGATAGGTATGTCATGTAATGTGTTTGAAGTAATAAATTATAATTAGTATTATTAGATACTAGTTGATTCAAGCGATATTGTTCACATAAAATGACATAGATAACCAAAGTCAACAAATGATGAAAGCTCACACAGCGCCATCTAGTTTTATAATAAGCAGAGCTTGTCCTATAGATGCTATCAAGCCGGCATACACAGATCATCAGTGTATGCCGGCTGAAAACCCAGTGATCCGGAGGTCTTCGCCTCCGGAGTAGAAGCCGGGGTAATAGGGTACGCCCCAAGGCCCCTACCTCGCCCGCCCACACATCATCCGGCGGGCAAGAGATGACCATGTTGTTGTTGTTGTTATAGATGCTAGACGACTTTGAATGTTTTTTTTTTTTTAACTAATATAATGTATTAAAAACGCCAAGACCGATCCAAACATTCGCAAACATAAATGTTTGTATTCTTTTGGAATCGAACCGGCAACCATCGAAAGGTTGGACAGTGAATTAAATTAATACCACACTAAATTCGTCGAATTCTAACTCTAAATTAGCATCTAGTATCAAATCTCTTCAAATTGGTTATTTATTTGTTTCAGCTTCTCCCAGAAAGTCGACGAGGAGGAGAGTGGAGGTGGCGGCGCTCTACATCCACCAGACGGGTTCTACTCCCACAGCCACTCCATCCACAGTGGCCACCATGGTCACCACGCTGAACCCGACAGGGGTTACATGGAAGGCAATAGATACGTCACCGCTGTCCATCGACCGTTACCTGGTATGTTTGATTTTTATTGATAATTAATTTTTCATTTTATTCTGATTGCTTGTAAGTTTGTACATCAAATATTGTAAACTAAATTACATACTATATTACTAATATATCTTCTTTGTATCCTCATGCCTGAGAGATATGATTAAGTATACAGTGCAGTTTTGTGCTTTCTGGATGGACTCTTACAAAGTAGTTCCAGTTGGGCGTTGAATTGTATCCATCCATCTTGTCGGTTCTCGGCCTCTACTCCTCTTTCCATTGTCACAGCCGCCCAAGACTATCCTTCCTTTTACTAATATACAATCCTATCTATTAAGTTAGAATATAATCTACCTGTGTATGAAATTTCACACAAATTCTTTTAGTCGTTTAAATGTAATAGACAAATAAATATTCTAACATCAAAAAATACAAAAGTCCATACATATTTACAAGCTTTATAAACGCATTTAAAATATTAGTAGGATAACTAATTATTATTCAGAAATATAATTCGTATAGACTGCTGTTTTATGTAATATTTATTTTATTAATGTACTAATTTGTAATCTGTTGCCTTGCTATAAATAAATGAATAAATAAATAGAAGTCACCGTACCCTCTAAGTTAAAAAAAATTGCGGAGAATGTAGACAATAACATCGTATTCGTCATGAATAGCAACGCATGAGAGGTGCATGCCATTGGTACCATAATGTATTTTGTGATTTTCATGATGTTATTTATATATATAGGCGACTGTTACCACTTTCCCAACCACTCCATCAAAAAATCCTGTAGCATTTAAATGAAATTGTAAGTTTATTTTAAAATAACAATCCTTAATAAATATTTAGAAGCAACTTGTTTACCAGAGCATTGAGCCCCAGCTCTAATATAATTTAAATAATATTCAGATTCAGAAAGTCGATCAAACAAAACCTTAAAATAAAGCCTCATTGTAAGCTCTCGATTCTACAGAATTGCAAAGTAAGTAATTATTTTATACAAGCAACCTAAGATGTCCTGCCAGAATACCAATTTTTTTATACCACAAAAGCGGCATACCGACATACAGAGCATTTGATGGTAAACGGTTACTGTAGCCTATGGACGCCTACAATACTAACATGCACGTTGCCAGAACCTAAAGAAACCTTAATTCCCTTTTTAAAGAGCCCCAAACTGCAGTATCTAAGGAAAACCTAGGCAGAGAGCTCTATCTACAGCCTGAGCTTTCGCGGATGAAAATTCCTTTGAAACCAATTCTTAATCTTTCCCTAAACTTAGGTCTAAATCAACCCGTATGTAATATATGTATATTTAACCAATCTTTTTTGCTAAACAATAATGACTTTAATTCTGTCAAAAAATAATTGCAAAAAGAACAATTGAAATGGAATCAGAGTTGGTTACGTAATTACATAACGTAGTAGCTACAAAAAATACAGAATAATTAAGAACTTTTTTTTTTAGGAAGACGCTATAGAAACTAGCTAAATCAGTCCAACCTTCCGTGAATCGATACGTTTACAAACGAACAGTTTAATTTTTATCTATATATAGATGGAGTAACATTTTTATAGCGTGCCTTTCTAGGTGCCCTGAACGGAGAAAGGTTGTGAATAAGGAATGGATATCCTGTAGTGAAAGTGCTCTTGGATTATATATAGTGTGGTGGCAATTGTATTGAATATTAAGTGCCTTCTTCGATTAGACTTTCATGGTTAAGTGAATGGGAATTACATTAATCTTGGAACGGACTTAGCCAGTATTTGCATTTTTAGGAAACCCTTTCTTTTTTTCCAATATTTAAATAAGAAGGAGGTATTGTCGTATATATTGTTAAGTATGTGATTCAATTTTCATGATTACGTTTCTCTTTTTGATCGGAAACGTTGAGGTCCATTTTGATTTGCCTTATATGTATCAAGATTGATTTTTGTTTGTTGTACATTTTAAATGATTCGTCTCAATTGCCGGTTTTTTATTTTAACGTCTTAATGCCTTTTGTCTTATGGTTGACTTTTGGTTAGGAAATGATATTTACTGGGTACAGAGGAATAACACCTGAGTCCTCAGGAATGGCAACGCATGGAGGTATCATGGGCGAAACAGTATGCTCTGTTATATCCATGGTACTGCTCATGTCTATAGGCGACGGTTGCCACTTTCCATCAGGTGGGCCGTCAGCTTGTTTGCCATTCTAAGTTGTATAAAAAAAAAAAAGATATACGAGTATGTACCAATTATCCGTAAATATAGCTATCTAATGCTTTAAACGTACATTACTAAAGTCGCGACTCGGGATTTAGTACAGTATACAATATAACACTAGAACCTCTTTAAAAGTTGTCAACGAAAGAAGTGATCACGTCGTAACCAAAAATTCTACATTTAATTGGGCTTATTTACTTATAACATTGTTTTAGTTCCACATTGTCCGTATTAGCCATTCGACTCCATTACCAACATACCCTCCCCCTACCCCCTTTCATAAAGCTAAGTCGGATATATTACATATGTGGCTTTGATTTGACGAATTGTACTAATACGACTCCACAAATTCTTTCTCTAATTACTAAGACTGTACGTATTTTGTTTCCAGCACTAAACCACTCAAACTCATCATGTTCATCAGCTTCGAACGCGTCTACGGGCGCGGGTCTGTGCCCAGGCGCAACAGAACCAGCGCCTCCGCTGTACATCGCTGCGCCGCCCGAAGGGTTCGGGATGGCTGTGCATACAAACAGGTCAGTGGATGTCACACGTATTCGAAGCCTCGGTGTTGTTCATGTACTTATTGTAAGAAAGCAAACGAAGCCATTGTACAGACAAGTAGCTAGCAAGGTAAATTTAAGTACTTTATCTACCATATATAGTATATACTACTTTCATCGTCGTGAATAAAGTCAATTACATAATATATTTGTATGACATATCCGACTTTATTAATAAGGCAGGTGAAGTTTTTTTTTCTTTTTATTAATACTTAAGGGGCTTTTGTCCTTAAAGGACATACCAGCTCCATTGCACTCTATCTTAAAAGTTTCACAATTTAACTGTAGACATTATTTGATTATAAATGCTAATTCATTATTCTTTTTGGTACTATCAGCTGTAGGTTATATATATATATATATATATATATATATATATATATATATATATATATATATATATATATATATATATATATATATATAAACTTAGAATGGCAAACAAGCTGACGATGGAAATGGAATGGAGCCACCTGATGGAAAGTGGTAACCGTCGCCTATAGACATGAGCAGTACTATGGATACAACAGAGTATACCGTTTCGTCCATGATACCCCCATGCGTTGCCATTCCTGAGGATTCAGGTGTTATTCCTCTGTAACCTGTAAATTCACGCCATATCCCATCCTTCAAACCGAAACACAGCCATGCAAACGCAGTTGTGTTTCACGGTTTCACGGTAGAAACACGAATGGGACAGAGATGCCCAAGCAAACGAATTTGTACAAAGTCTCCCTCTAGAATAAAAGACTGAATGACTTCAACATCTATAGTATTAACTGTAGATGAAGTGTTAGGGGGAGCTTCAGGGCCGTACGGAGCTCGGGCCTTCTTAATGTACACTATATCTAAAAATAGCTAATCCATAATGTATTCGGTTTTAAAATTAATTTTGTATTACTTTCTTTGTTTTCTGGTACAAAGTAAATTCTAAATTATAAATTTATAACACAATGTCAATCATGTGTAAAAGTGACAAATGAAGATCTGCTAATTAACTGTCAAACGTGAGATTTCCTGATTATGTTCTTTTCGTTCAGAAGTTCTTATTTTTTTTGTTCTTATTTATTATTACAGCTTATGTAATGATTTATATATTATATAGAAATTAAATTACAGGCAAATACTATATAGGCAGTGGCTGTAGTGTGACTGTTGAGTTATTCCTTATCACAATTTTTGAACAATGCGATATGACTTAACAAACGAATAGTTAATAAAACCCATTTTTGTATCAGTAAACTCTTACAAAATTAATTTTAATTCATACTTTCGATATTTTTGAGTTACTTAACAATGACTGGGCCCAATGTTAAATATTTTTGCTAGAGATATGTCATAAATAAATTAAAAAACAATAAATAAAAATACCAAAATCAGTTTGTGTTCGTGTTAATTTGATTTTTATTTCATATTTTTTTAAACAAGAATTAATAAATTTTAGCACTTGACTGTACACTGGTGTTATTATATTAAAGAATTGTGTATATGTTAGTTGTATCTGTACTTCTGTATATTCATATATTTCATTTATTAATATTATTTCATATATATAATAATAATAAACATATTTTAATGTAACAATAATTTTTATACGATTGTATTTTACGTGATTATTAAATAAATTATAATATAATTTTTCATATATATAATCGAAGCATATATTAAAATAGGTAATAAAGGTACTGTCACTTCACCAATGTAATTTGTAAGGAATCATCGTGTCTGTATTTCCACATAATATTTTATGTTATATTTATTTTTAAAACACATATATTCATTATTAGTTATCTATACTCTATTTATAAGTATCGTGACTAACATTTAATAATTGTCTCACTTCCTTATGCATAATATTTAACATATAATATTTCTGTACATTTTATACAATCATATATTATAGGAACGATTATAATGAATGTTTTGTTTATATTTTATAATACATTGCTTCCATAGGCGTGGCACAGACGTGTCTATCATTGGAACAACAGGGATTACACAAAAAGATCCAAGTTTACCCCAAAAGAGGGGTAAATTGATGAGAGGGTACGTCCCCGAACCTAAGATCTGCCTGTGTTGTGAACCTTCTTCACTAATTGTCCTAACGAGTGGCCCTGCCCTTTAATATTTGAAGCAGAAATTAAATTAAAAAACAGCCGTAACATAGCATGAGTTTTCAAAGCATATTAAAGTTATCAATTCATTTCCCAACGTAAACAAAATGTAAATTAAAGCCGCCAGTCTCTCGATTTTAATTCCACTTGTTTATTTTTCTTTATCTCAACGTAACCTCTCGAGTTGAATACGTGCTTATACAGTAGATAGGTACCTACAGTATTATTCTTTTATATATGAACGCCACAGGCATCGTAGAATCTCTTTGTCAGATTTTTGTTGGGAAATGAATTTATTAACCTAGATATAAATGTTTGTAATGACGCCTCCTCGTATAATAAATAGAAGATAACAGAATTATTCGATCGCAAAGCTTACTTACATGAATGAAATCCATAACAGCATGACTCTGACTACACATGAAGTATGACTATTTCTTGTAGGTATAAGTATAGTTGACTATCTTAGAAGTCACCTACTTTTGATATTGATCACTCTTATGTCGATTCTATTAGATGATAACTTCTTGAAATTTCAGTAGTTAGTTATGTAATACAGAGTAGGTGTATAATTATTTATGATATGCCTAAAATCACTAAGTCATATGTTGTTAACGATAAGTCACTTCTTATGAAGTCACTTAAGTATGACTACATGTGTATCACCTAGGTAATATTATTAAATTGAAATTTAATTATCGTAATGTAATCATTTAATGATTTTATTAATTTGATGATTTAAGTACCTTGATGACATTTGAAACCTTATCATTGCTTAATCCGCATATAGATACATCTTAAAATCCTGTCAATCATCATCTAATTGCATTACAATTGGAGTTAGAGCATTCAAATAACACATTCGATAACAATATTAAATGCTTATTTAAAGTCGCTTTTTTTTTTAATCAAAGTAATTTATTAAACGAGATCTGATGTTGGTCACATACTATTTTTGTTATGAAAAGTCACTATTTTTTGTGAATTAAATTTTAATTTTTTTTAAACAAGATGACTGATAGTCTGTTCTTGGCTTGTTTCCAACTAATAGGGTTGTCAAAAATGCTCTGATTTCCATTTTTACCTGAACGTTCTTATTTCATATATTCATTGACTAAAAATACTTTTCCAGTCGTTATGAGATGTCCCAGGATCTGCTCGATAAACAAGTGGAGATATTGGAGAGGAGGTACGGAGGCTTGAGAGCGAGGAGAGCAGCTGTGACGATCCAGAGGGCGTTTAGAAGACGCCAATTGTTAAAGAAATTCAGCGCCATTACGGCGATGGCAAAAGCGGCAGACTCCAATACCAGGAGGCTGCAAGACGGCCCTGATCACGGCCAACTAGTCAACGGTAAGCAGTGAAAATTTTATTATAATTATTTACATCGGTTTTACTCGCCAGCAGCTCTAAGCAACTCAGCCGTGAACTATGCTCATGAATAAGACTCTAATCGAGGCCGAAACTAGTTCAGTTAACCGAAATTAATAATAAGTGTCACACAATCACACCAATTATCTGGTCCTCAAGCTAAGGTACTCTGTTTTTTGAAGAATCTAGCAACGAACTTCTGGGTACACAATCCAGAACACTCAGACCCAAACCAATTCCGAAAATTTATGAGCTTCCTGTCGAGTTTTTTTCAAGAGATTACAGCACAGGGTTCTTCAAAAAAGAGATAAAGAGACCCTTTCAGGGTCAACAACGCGCGTAATGCCTATGGAATTCACTACCTACCTCTATTCGGTGCGCTCAAACTCTTACTAGCTTCAAAACCTCTGTTAAATCTTACTACCTCTCACTTTAGTACTATTTTCCTGTGTTCTCTCTTCGTTTTCCTTCGTCATTTTTTTCTGTTGTATGTATGCTGTTAAGTATGTGTATGTTATGTATATATTTAATTGTGTATATATTATATATGTATGTGTATATATGTATGTGTATATATGTATGTATGTATCTATATATGTTTGTATATGATAATATTCATATAATAGTGCGCCACCTACTCTTTGTCTTTTTCTCAATGTCCTCTACCCAAAGGTTGTCTGGAAGAGATTGCTTAGCGATAAGGTCGCCTTTTGTATCACTTCTCATTAATATTTACTGTATTTGTTATTTCTCTTTTTACTTGGTGCAATAAAGTGTAAATAAATAAATAAAAAATAAAATGCCCCTAGTATTGCAGAATTTTATAGGCTAAGATCCGCTTAACCGCTTACTATCAGGCGTTTACTTCGTTACTATTTTAGTGGTATAAAAAAAGAAAAGTTTTTTTCCTATATTGATCCTACCGGAAATGGAACTGGGACTTCATTTACCCGAACCAAAGTGCCCATCACTGCGCCACAGAGGTTATTAATACTTGACTTAAGCCTGTATAGAAATATAATACAGTATAGTTATTATTCAACAATAGCAAATCATTATGGCACAATATAATAATACGGGAAATAAAAAAACGAATAATCATACATTTAAATGCCGCCTAAAAACTTGAAACTCATTTTCTAAACAGTCTCGTAAAAACTTTGACGAGAACTATAAATTATTTGGCAATTATTAGTAGAAATATTTTAACGCTTTTCTATCTAACATTCTAGGTACAGATATCTACGCAAACACATTACTGCAGAAGAGTCCCGCTGGTCAGGAGAAGATGCTAGCTATGACAAGACCAATGCGCTCCATGTCACTGAGAGAGCGCCATGATATCGACCTTAGGTAAATAAATACATATATTCCGCTATAATAGCCAGATCAGACAAGTATTCCCTTTATTTGCTTCGTCTCCCCTACTTAAGTTCCACTAAACAATACCCGGCTTACACTTCTAAAATTGCAAGATACAACACATAATTATGTTATTAATACCAATAAAGTCAATTTAATTTCAGACCAGATAGACCTCTATGATATGTGCAGGAGTTTTATAATTTTCAATTTTCTAAATTACAGTAACCATTTACAATGCGAGGCCCAAAACGAAGTGGAAGCAATGGTCGCGAGGGTGCAGCACTCTGCTCATCAAATCCACATGATCGCTGCCGACATGCCGCATCATCACCGCAGTGACACCGACAGTGGGGTATGTTATAATAATTTTTAATGTCTTGTTAAGGCACTTTTTTATGATACTTAGAAATAGCAAATAAGTTTAACCCGCCTGATGAAAAATGATAACCGTCACCTATAGGCGTAAACAGCACCATGATCTTGTGATGCCATTCAATTTTTATTTTCATTGCCATATCCCATCCTTCAAACCGAAATGCAACTATTTAAGCACAGCTGTTTCATGGCAGAAATGTGGCAGTGGGATAGACTGCATGCATTTGCATGGATTGCATTTGCTAAAAGCTCCTCCTTGGTAAGAATTTTGGCCTTATCAATGGCTTGCTACAGAGACTGCGTGTACTCACTACGTAATTGAATATTGGAGACCATAATACACCTAGCACTTGGTCGGCTGAGGTCTAACCCGAGACATAATTGCGTCGGAGACGAGCATTTGTGCCTCTAAGAATAAAGCCACATTTCGGAGATTTTTCGTCGTAGAGGATTGGTTTGAAGTGGCGATAGCCTTATTGATCCACCGTCCCCCCTGATGCTGGATCCTTTCTATATATATTATATTTGTTTTTTTCTACAGATGTGCAGTTGTTCCGTAAGCGGATCAGTGACTAACATATCGACATCTTCGTCCCACAATGATTCACTTCATAACCATCAGCTGATGAATAATTCAGGTTGGTAATTGGTACACAACAACTTTAGGCATGACACTCTCAAATTGTTTTTCATTTATTAATGTGTAAGTACATGACCTATACAAGTAGATAGTTTAGGGTAACGAGATATAGTCTGTGGTTCTTGTTGAATTTAAAGGAAAGGTCATCATTGTACTCACATGGGCACTCGTACTTGACAGTAACAAGTGTTGAATTGTTAAGATAACTCGCTTAACTGTTCAGATACTCATCTGCATGTGTACCTCTGTACTTCTTATTTATTTTGGCTCTAAGTAGCTTACTTCTAAAGCTATGGTAAGATATGATACTGAAATTACTGAGTATAGCAATTCAGACTTTACTGCTTATAAGTCTTCTAAAAATTCCGTAAACAGATTGTTTTGTTTCTTTATTTGTCTGAAGAATAAGTCTTCTTAAATCCACCTTCATCGCCATTGTTGCTTATTGTATGTATCTTCAAAATAAGGAATAGCAGAAAACATTAAGTTTGCGACAATCGATAAGACTTTCTATCTCTTTACTATTTTTATTCCTATTCCAGGTCCCATATATGGAAATCTGCTATCATCAGGTGGTAAGCCGCTATCTTCACCGACAGCGCGGCAACAACAGCAACTAGCCGCAATACAAGCTGCTAACGCACGGCGATTGCCCCCTGAAGTACCGAAGCGAACTAGCAGCATTACTCTCAAGTGAGTTATTTTTTTTTTTGAGTTATTACTATGACTACCAGTTGACTACCTCCTTGACTTTATTATTCGTATTGTCAAGAAACAGCTGCTACTCTATTTGAAGGATGGAATGTGAAATTATGTTACACTAATGTAATTTGAAAGCAGAACACCATTGTATCCGCTGTTACCTGTCCACTGCTAAACATAGCCTCTCCCATAAGGGGAAAGGAAGGAGTCGCCTATTTTATGCCGGGTACCACTTTTCATTAATTGGGCTGTCATTACATTTGCATCTTAAGTTGTTAATAAAAATGCCATGCATTAGTTCCTGAAAATTAAGAAAGTATCAAATATTTTAAATATAAAAATAACGAATTCACTTACGTGTATTTTTGAGCATGCTCAACTAATTTTGGAACTATCCCCTCCCTCTCACCCATAGACAATAAAGAATAACTATCTATTTTACTTTTATTTTTCTAGTGCTGAAAGTCCAGTGTCGCTTCGTCGAGCGGAGTGCGGTGGCGCGGTCGTCCGGGGCGGCTCCATGTCCTCGGTGCAGTCGAGTTCCTCGTCATCCTCACAGGAGCACCGTCACCACTACCACCAGCCGTACCAGCCCAGGGCACCGGTTAGTGCCGCCTTTGATGATGAAGAAAATTATTGATTTATTTCTGATAACCTTAATATCAGCTAATAATGTTTATATTGGTTTTTCTTCCGTATTAATTTTAGGATTGCTAAACTTATTTTAAATTCTATAGAAGCCCTAATACAAGAGCGCGGTTCGAAATAGCAACCCCAAAGTCTGGCAACCCCGAAATTAATAACCGAATAAATCTGATATATATATAATTATAATACAAATTGATTGCTATTTCAACAGCTACAATAAAAATATTAAATAATGTGGCAATTTGAAGTCATTCCTGAAGAGTTACAGAGTGAAATAGCATGAAGCGTGTCAATTCCTATTTTGTATGTTTGTCACTGAGAATGGGTTGTCGCGTGATGAGGCATGATACCTACATTCCCGTCGCCCTAAATCGTCTTTGTCCGTTAAAATTTTGTGTCAGTATAATTTATCCGCTCAGCGTGTCTTTTTTTTATAAATATATTTTCTTCTCCATAATAATATTATACTCAATATTGTAATGTTTTCAAAATGGCCGCCGCCACAAGATGGCGGATGGTGTATTTTTTGTCAATCTTGTTAATGAAAGAGTTTGAAAAGTAGGTAACATCTTTTAAAATGGCCACAGCTAAAGCTAAAGTATGGCAGATCACATAAAAGATTATCTAAAAAAATATTTTGACCAGACTTCTTTTTGCGAAGTTTAGGCAAATCACGGACATTGACGTAATTTGACACGCATGATATCCTGCTAGTTTTCAAACCTCCTTCCCCTAGGAGCCGCACGTTCACATCCAAGAGCAGCACTTCCAGCACCAGCGCACTGCGTCAGGGACCGTGTATGAAGGCCCCGAACGGTATGCGGTGTGGAAACGGCAGGAGGCACCCCCCTACTACGAGGCGCCCCCTCCGCCAGCGGCGTGCTGTAGACCCCAGCATGAACACCACCAGATACAGCATCAGCCGCTAAAGGTAGAGGAAATCAGAGGGAAAAAACCTCACTTCAGCCGTATTTGCGCCGTCAAGCTGTGCTGGGATACCTGTTTCGATTTTTTATGACATGAAAATGGAATGGTAACACCGCCTGCGCTATCGGTATAAACTGGCGGGTTACCAGTGAAGATTTATAGGTTAATGATGAAGTCAGATTAATTGGTCGAATGTTTCTGCGTGGACTGCGTGGAGATAGAGGACAATATGTAATACAATATATAACTAGTAAAGTACAATCTCTTCATCTCCTCTCGCTCTCGCGTTACAATCGCTTACGACTAAGGCTTATCACGATTTGATTCCGAAATTAATCGAGATTTCTCTATCTCATTACACGTAAGTTAAACCGATAGGTATTAATATAATGTGTGCTTACTAAACTTTCAACAATAGTAAGATATTATCAGTTATAATTTTATTGCAATTGTCGTATAAAAATACCCGTTTTTCTATATACTCTCCATCAACTGAATGTAAATGTAACCTAAAAATAAATAACAAAAAATATGACATCTGAATGGATGTTCTGTAATGTATGTATGACGCATGTACAAGTCCAGTTTCATTGTTCTTTTGCATAACAACTTTTTTTATTCGATGATTCGCCTCTATTCAGTCTACCTTTTTTTTTTACTTTATCTTATAAATATTTATACGTAAATTAATTGTTTTTATACACTATTAAGTACATACTGGAATAGTAAAAAACGGTGTCATCATCAGCAAAGTGTACTCGTATCCATATATTTATCTATGATATTGCCTATACGATATATCAAATTTTATTCAAATCTGTTAAGCCGTTGAAATATAATTGAGTAACAAATATCTTTATTATTTTTCACATTCATTATCCTTTTATAACCGACTTCAAAAAAGGAGGTTCTCAATTCAGCATCAGTATTTTTTTATGTTTATTATCTCGTAACTCCGTCAGTTGTAAACTAATTTGGAACATTTTTACAGAACAGTTCCATAGAAATTTTATCAAAATCGGTTCAGTGTTTTAGTTTTTAGATTAAAATAACTGGTTATGTCACAATTGAAGTTGATTTTTTTTTAGGCACAATCATTAATTATTTTATATACATTTGTAACTTTCACATTTTCACAGATATTTGTAAATATTGTAAGCAAGAGTGGACTTATGTCCATATCTTTGCCAGCTTACTAAATACTATATTATCAAATACAGTGTTAAAATTTTATAATAATAGTAATATTTTGGCAATATCTTCTAAGAAAAGTTGTACAATTTACAATTTGTCATCGACACAGGTGTCGGAAACTGTCCGTAAACGACAGTATCGCGTCGGGCTGAATCTCTTCAACAAGAAACCAGAACGAGGCATCGCGTACCTGATCTCCAGGGGCTTCTTGGAGAATTCTCCCCGCGGTGTAGCGCGGTTCCTCATCACCAGGAAGGGGCTGAGCAAACAGATGATCGGCGAATATCTGGGGAATCTGCAGAGTCAGTTCAACATGGCCGTTTTGGAGTGAGTGGTCTCTCATATTTCCTTATTATAAAATGGGGGGGAGGGGGAGGGGGGATTTGTACAAGAAAAAATACTATTACAAATAACTTATATATTTTATTAATTCCATACAAATTAATTCCAACAAAATTCTAATCAACAATAATACCACTACAATACAAATACCTAATTTGAATTAGTCGAACTGTCCAGTTTGCTATCTTTAATCAGTCCCTGATACACCTTTTGCATAAACTAACTTATTTGATCAATGCGCATATGGTGTCACTGTTTTTATAATGACACAGTTTTTTTTTAATGGGTGAAAATAGAATGGTAACCCCGCCCGCGCTATCGGTATACACCGACAAGGCACCAGTGGAAGATGATAGGTGGGAATGAGTGCAGGTCAGTTGGCGCACCATGATGAATTCGACAAGAATTAAACATGATGGTTTCCAGGGGGAACCACGTGGAGGTCGACCTGAGAGGGTATATTGCTAGCAATGGGGCTATTAGTCCTCCTTTACTAACAATCCCTTTCCCCCCATAATGACACAGTTAGGTCAACAAGAATGGCGGTATGCTAAGCAGTATATTTACATTAATAGTACCTACCGTCCATATTGCGTTTTGTAATCGAGATATTAGTAATTACCTACATTTACATTCTTAAAATTTTAATATGTTAAGAATGTAAAATGACAGTATTAAAATATAAAAAAAAATGTCGCTAATTATAGAAATTGGGACTTTATGCCCTTGTATATCATACCATATCAGCCGTTAACACCGCTGAATATAGACTTTCCCCTATTACGGAGGTTTTACCATTGATTGCCACGCTTGGTAGGCGAGTTGGCAACGGCAGTTTAGTTTTTATGATGTTCTAAAAAAAACGCTGTTCCTCATCCCTCGATCATTAAGTTCCTTTAGTCCTTTAGTCTTTACGACACCCACGGGGAAGGAAGGGGCGGCCCATTTTATATTAGGATTACACGGCGATACTCTTGTATAAGACTATAAATTCCCGTATTTCTGTAACACCGCCCCATTTAAAAGTAATAATCTCTCTTATCATTCTAATATATAAAAATTTTGTGTCACGCTATTTGTAAAAATTATTACACAAAAATAGTAGCTGACCCAGCAAACGTTATTCTACCCCCTAATATGATGACTACTAGAAGGAACCATAAATTTATATATCCCGGACGAGCCCGTTTTTGGGGGAAGGGATTGTTAATAATGGGATCTAACAGCCCCATTACTAACAATATTCCCCCTGGAAACCATCGTGGTTAATTCTTGTGAAATTCGTCACGATGGGCTAACTGGCCTGCTTTCACCCTCACCTATCACCCCTCACTGGTGCCCCGCCAGTGTATATCGATAGCGCAGGCGGGGTAAACATTCCATTATCCATTAAAAAAAAAACATAAACTTATATGATATAGGCAGGTTATGTATGCAGCTTCTTCAACATTCCTGAACAAGTGGCAAACAAATGTATACGTAGACACGTTTTCGTTACCGTACGCATGAGAAAGAATGAGATAGATGCTGTGTCTTTCTATCCCTTGTTCGAAAGATTGGTAAAAAGACTATTTCCAAAAGATTTAGTAATTAAATGTATTCTAAAATTAGTATTATTCTAAAGTAACATTTATTCTATTAATTCTAATATAATTTTAAATATGTTCTTTCAGATGTTTTGTAAACGAATTGGACCTATCAGGGATGGCTGTGGATGTGGCTTTGCGACGGTACCAGGCCCACTTCAGACTGCCTGGTGAGGCGCAGAAGATCGAGCGTCTGGTGGAAGCGTTCGCGCGTAGATACTGCGTTTGCAATCCTGACTTCGTACAGCGTCTGCGTACTCAGGACACGGTTAGTTTACGTCTTTTGATCGTTTAGCTTCGTAGCAGTTACCATGCCCCTATCACTTAAAAAAACTTTTTTAAGTGATAGGGGTATAAACTTTTTTTCTTATATATATATATATATATATATATATATATATATATATATATATATATATATATATATATAATGAGGTGAGGGGTCTTACTAAGACCAATAAGGACCAAAACAATATTTTTTAGATATTTTGTTGGAAAAATGTATATATTTAATAAAAGAATTTTAGTAATAAATTAAATGTCAACTATATATAGTCACTCAATTTATATTTGATTTCTTTTTTTCATACAACTTACAATGGCAAACAACCTGACGGCCCACCTGATGGAAAGTGGTAACCGTCGCCTATAGACATGAGCAGTACCATAGACATAACAGAGTATACTGTTTCGCTCATGATTCCCCCCATGCATTGCCATTCCTGAGGACTCAGGTGTTTTTTCTCTGTACCCAGTAAATTCATGCCATATCCCACCCTTCAAACCGAAACACAGTCATGCAAACACAACTGCTTCACGGTTAAAACACGAATGGGACAGAGGTGCCCAAGAAAATGACTTTTGTACAAAGCCTCCCTCTGTATATAATATTTCTTAAGTTGTTATGACTTTGTACTGTATAACCTTAAAAAAATGTCATGTTCAACATAATGTAATGTTGTTATCGAATAAATTGAATTCACGACTCTGGAACGCGCTTCTTGATGCCATTAAGAGACTACCGACTAAACCGTCTTTCAAAAAAAAACGTTCACGCTCACTTTTTTACTTTATCCGAGCAGTAAGTGCATGTATGTATATCAATAATTAGTAGTACCGCATTCGAGTATTCTAACACTTCCCTATGGTTGACTGGGAGAGAATGCTTTAATGCTTTTAGCATTAAGTCCGTCATGTACACATATTTGTACTAATGAATAAATAAATAAATTTAATATCATTCACAAAACGTTTTGTTTCCAGATTTTCGTGTTAGCGTTCGCCATAATAATGCTGAACACGGATTTACACACGCCGAACTTGAAACCTGAAGCGCGTATGTCGCTAGACGACTTCGTGCGGAACCTCCGCGGCATCGACGACTGCGGTGATATCGACAGAGACATGCTCTCCGGGATATATGACAGAGTGAAGTCTAGTGAATTCAGACCCGGTAGCGACCATGTTACCCAGGTATAATTTTTTTTAACAATTCCATTTGTATAATTATTTATTGTATAATAATTTGCTCACTTCACTTACTGTTTCATAAGAATGTGTAGTGAGCTATTGGTGCGTTTTACAATAATACAATACAATAATATTTAATAGCGAATTAAGTCCGCCATTTACAATGTCTCGATGTATTAAAATTAAAAAAATACTTAAAATATTATAAATATTAATTATTCAATATATAATATCGAAATGTATGATAATCTTTTCCCCGTCATCAATGTTCAGAAGAACCCAATATATAGATATCGGTGTGGTACCGATATTTCCTTTGTTTATAATGCGCCTAATTTGGAAGACTGTTTGCAACTATCATTTTTATAGTTATACATACATAATATGAATATGTCATGGCGGCTTTAAATTAAGGCAACATTTTATAATGTAACCATATTGTTCATCATGTTTTTTAAATTTATATAAATTTATGCTTTGTTGGCTGTCCTTTAATAAATAAAACTTTAAGGGTAAATTGTATATTTAATTTTGCATATTTTTTTAATGATAGCAAGTTTAAATTCTGTCTCGTCATTTATAACCCTTTTTGATAGCGTCTTCTAGTACTATGTATATGTGTTTCGCAAATGAACGCAAAAAAAAAATAATTAAGGTCCTTGTCTCCTACAAAGACATGGTAGATTCCAAAGTAATTATTATTATAGATAGATACTTTTTATTGTTTCTTAAAAAAAAGTTATATTAGAAAACTTATTAAAAAAAAACAATAAATTATAAGAAAAGATTACACTGAAAAATCTATGGGCGCTAAGGGCGCGATCTCGTCCAGGCAACCTTTAGATGGAGAAAAGTAAAAATAATAATATATAATAATTATAATGATTGTCTGTACATCAGGTGATGAAGGTGCAAGCGACCATAGTGGGTAAGAAGCCGCATTTGGCGCTCCCGCACCGGCGGCTCGTGTGCTACTGCCGGCTCTACGAGATACCAGACATACACAAGAAGGAACGCCCCGGGGTACACCAGCGGGAGGTGCGTTTAAAGCTTTCTTATTATCCTACTGGCCTAGCTCTCGAAGTCTGTAAGCTGAAATGGCAGTGTGCTGGCCATATTTGTTGAGTCAGCGATGGTGGATCGGGAAAGGTCTAGGAGGAGGTTGGAGAGTGACGATGGAGTGTGAGGCGACTTCCTTCTAGATGGTCCAATGATGTTAAAAGTCGTGAGTCTAACCAGGATGCAAAAAAGTCGACGTTTGGCGACGACGACCGTGCCATCCACGTCGAAACGTTGGAGATTTGTGTATTTAAAATATGTATAAATAACGCTAAAATTAACTAAAATGGGTTTATTTAAAGTTTGACATTTTTATGAATAAGGTATTCCTTATCTCTAATATTCCAGAGACTATCCCGGATCTGGTATGTCTGATAGTTGATCACCTTCTAATTGTTGTCTCCAGGTGTTCTTGTTCAATGATCTGCTGGTAATCACGAAGATTTTCAGCAAGAAGAAGTCATCTGTAACGTACACCTTCCGGCAGTCGTTCCCTCTGTGTGGAATGTCTGTCAACCTGTTCGCTGTGCCACGTGAGTTTATTTCCTTTTTATAGTAGTTGAAGGGTCTCGCGATTGATCACGATCTCATTTGATCGAAGGTGATATGTGATAGATATATGATACGTTACGTATCATATATAATTTATCACACAAATGAATTAAATAATTGATTATATACGTTAATCAATTATTAAATTATTTGGACGCAATTTAGCAAATTGTGTGGTCTTTTCATGGAATGGGCCATCCCTTCCTTTCTTGTGGATTTCTTAAGAGGAGATTAAGGAAACTTACAGGTCGAGGGATGGCCAATAACGTTCCTCTTAAAATTTCACACCATAAGTATCACTGCAGTTGCCATCCCGCCTGCCAAGCGTGGCAACTATTAGCTATTAGCCTAGGGAGAGGCCTATGTTCAGCAGTGAACAGTTAGTAACGGCTGATATGATGATGATGATGATGCATTTGACAAAATATAACTAGCAATCTGACCTGGTTCCGCGCGGGAAAATTGAATATTCGAAAATAATTTATAGCCTATGTTACTAGCTTATACGAGGTTTGTCCGGAAAGTACGTATAAAAGTTTTTTAAAAATTTTATTTTACAATTATTCAGGTAAATCAATTTTATCCCCTTCAAAGTACTCCCCCTGTGACATAATGCACTTGTGCCAACGCCGTTTCCACTGTGAGAAGGCTCCTTGAAAGTCCTCTGGTTGTAGGTTTCTCAGCTGCCCCGTCGTAGCTTTTTTTATCTCATTTATGTCCCCCAAATGCCGCCCCCGAAGTACCAATTTGGTTTTTGGGAACAAGAAGAAGTCACACGGGGCCAAATCCGGCGAATAGGGGGTGTTCGGTCACCGTAATGGAATTTGTACTCAAAAACTCACGGACAACAAGAGAGGTGTGGGCAGGGGCATTGTCGTGGTTAAGAATCCAACGCCCCTCTCGCGCCAATTCTGGACGAACTCGTGCCACACGAGCTTTGATCTGAGCACATCGACGTAGAATTTTCCATCATCTGTCTGGCCTGGAGGGACGAATTCTTGATGGACAATCCCCCGAACATCGAAAAAAACAATCAACATTGTCTTGACATTTGAGCGGGATTTTCTTGATTTTTTTGTTCGTGGTTCCCCGGATGTCTTCCACTTTTGCTTTCACGCCATTCTTGCCGAGTTTCGAGAGAAACTTGATTACGACGCGCTGCTCTTCAACGGAAGCGGGCTCCATGCCGACGGGGTTTCGTTAAGAGGTAACTTCACAGATGGCGTGACAAGCCAGTTCGCACCGCACGGCGGTCAGACCAGAACTGAAGCATTGTTAGGGACATAAGGAAGGGGTCCTGCGCTTACCTGGCCTCCCCACTCCTCTTTCTCGCATTCCAGAACACTTTTATACGAACTTTCCGGATCGTATTGTAGCATTTTTAGGTGAAAAATGTTTTTAAATCAGTCGAATAGTTTTTGAGTTTATCCATTACAAACATACAATCAAATCTTTCCTCATTATAATCCTTACTAAATTAATAAATTTTTGAAAATACAACTACTGACAATTGTTCTATAATGCGTAACTTATTTATATCTGGTTATTTGATTAGAATTATTTAATTTAATTCGGCTACCATTAATATATATGTGACTGCCAATACTCGAAGATTGACCTTCACTATTGCTACCAGAAGTTTCACAACCTTCCATATTAGCCATCTACCTCCGACTTTATTTTATTCACGCATGTGCACGTGTTTCATACACGTGTCGCAAGACATGCGAGGACGATGACCTCTAAACGAGGCATCTTAAGGCAAATTATTAGATCGTTGCTCGGAGTCTAGTGTTAACCGTTCGGTGTCTAAACTGTGAATGATAATAGTTACTTATGTCTTATAGATTACCCATTCGGTATTCGATTGTCACGACGCGTCGACGGCCGACGGCTGGCGACGTTCAACGCCCGCAACGAGCACGACCGTTGCAAGTTCGCAGAGGACCTACGCGAGAGCATCGCCGAGATGGATGAGATGGAGGCGATGAGGATCGAGGGCGAGCTGAACAGGGGCAAGGGCCGAACCGGAGGGAACAACAGGCAAGGTGAGGGATATATTCAATTATCTACTAGTTTTAAGAGAGATTCGTGTTCCAATGCCTTTTTCAAGTGATCTAGCCAAAATCCTTTTTTATGGATAAAAATGGAATGGTAGCCCTGCCTGCGCTATCGGTACACACTGGCGGGAACCAGGGAGTGATGATACGTGAGGATGAAAGTAGGTCAGTTAGCTTATCACGATTAACTCAAGAATTAACCACTATGGTTTCCATGGGAATCGCGTGGAGGTCGATCTGAGGGTGTATTGTTAACAATCCCTCTTCACCAAACTCCTACTAATATTAAAGATGTGAAAATTTATATAAATTTTTGGATTAATAGATGTTTTATTGTTACAGTGATGGAGAACCGAGACAGTGGTGTAGCGGACGTTGAAATTGACCACCAGCAGTGCATGGATCATGTGCATATGCACGGGTTAGTCAACGCCGTATTTTAAGAAGAAAAGTATTTTTATTCATCATCGTCATCATCATCATCATCATCATCATATCAGCCTTTAACTGTCAACTGCTGAATATAAGCGTCCACCATAGACTGCCATAAACTCTATACATAAACCTGTAACTGTATTACCACAATAATTGTTTGATTTATTCACCGCAAAATTACATTTCTGTTTTGCCAAAGGTTGACTGCGAGAGAATGGTATATTATATAGCATTGAGTACGCCTTTTATACTAAACATTTTTTGTAATGTGGTCAATAAAAAATATATAAATAAACCTTTTATTAACAGTGTGGTAGTGCCACCGCCGCCGTCTTGCCCCGCGCCGGCAGCGCCCTCTCGCATGTCGAACCCGCCGCCGACGACTATCATCAAGCGGAACGTGCTCTCCAACTCGCTCGTCGATATCAACGACCCAGGTCAGTTACGGTGTCGCCCTCTGTCAAGTGTTTCTAGCCCACCATCGTTATACACAAAGGTTTCTAACGTGACTGATGTCACTACAAAATGAAAGGAAATTAATTTATTTGTATTGAAACACGGAGGTGCATTACAATAACATGGACTACAATTCGGTCTATTTAGTTAGTAACAATATTCTTACAAACTATGTTAGTAAAATATCAAGATAAATATATAGATAGGTCATTATTATTATATATGTCTTTAACTGTCCATTGCTGAACATAAACCTCCCGCTTGGGGGGTTTTGCCAGTATTTGCTACACTTGGCAGGTGGATTGGCACCCGCAGTCAGGCTTTAGAGATGTTTTAAGAGGGACGCTGCTGCCTATCCCTCGCCCTCCCTTAGTCGCCTCTTACGACACCCACGGGAAAGGAAGGGATGGCCTATTCTATGCTGGGACTATACGACCGATAAAATAGAGACTCTTTATTGTTTCTTTAAAAATATTACAATAGTAAACTTATTATAAACATAAACAATTTAAAAAAATCACATTGAGAAAACAATGGACTGTCTTATATAAATATTATTTAAAACAATTCAATCAGACCGGTATACGAGTACGCTTATCAATCAACAAGGGCTTCTCATGCCCGCCAGATGATGTGTGGGCGGGCGAGGTAGGGGCCTCGGGGTATACCCCACTACCCCGGCTTCAACTCCGGAGGCGACGACTTCCGGGTCGCTGGGTTCTTCAGCCGGCATACACTGATGGTCTGTGTATGCCGGCGAGTACGCTTATACCGGCATTTTCTTTCAAACCAACTCGGTCTCTATAAAGTTTATCATACTATGTTACAGTGGCGCTAGCAGCGGAACGCTTGCAGCGACGCGGGTCAGTCGGCTCCCTGGACAGCGGAATGTCCGTGTCGTTCCAGCAAGGAAGCCGCAATGCCCTTCATGCCACCTCACCGCGCCACCCTACCGATCAGCGATCACCAGGTCTTACTATTATTCATAGTTTTTATTTATTTTATTACTTGTTTGCATGCGTTTTAGTTTGAGGTGAAGTAACAGGGTACAGAGGCATAACACCTTATTCCTCAGAAATAGCAACGTGTTTTTTTTATATACCACTGAGGTGGCAAACAAGCATACGGCCCACCTGATAATAAGCAGTTACCGTAGCCTATGAACGCCTGCAATACCAGAGGTATTACGCGCGCGTTGCCGACCCTGAAGAAACCTCTTTACATTCCTTTTGAAGAATCCCATGCTGTAGTCTCTTGGGAAAACCTCGGAGCTCATTCCATAACCTGAGTGTTCGTGGGAGAAAACATCCCTAAAATGTGTGGGGTATCATTGGCGAATCAGTATACTCTGTTATGTCCATGGTACTGTTCATGTCTATAGGCAATGGTTACCACTTTCTATGAGATGGGCCGTCAGGTTGTTTGCTATTTCGATGTATCATATAAAGTGCCTGAAAGTTATAATTATCTATATAAATTATTAAAAAATACCCACTATAAAAAAAATGTTTGAAGCAAATAAAAGTAACAGCTGAGTTTTTTGTCCGTGCTACTGAATTAGGCAATACAATTATAATAGTAAATATTTAAAAATGCTTAAAATTAAATATACTCATTGGTAATTTAGTGGGTGGGGGGGGGGAGATCCTTGCCCATCACGAAATCAAGAGTAAAGCTTTCAGCAATTGGCAAGGACATGTCTGAGAGGTATGTACTCGTAGACCTAAGGCATAAGGCGTATATGTATATGCATTTTTAAGAGTACATTCTTTCCCCCTCCCGCCATTGATTTGTAATTTTAAATACCTAAAATAAAATATTTCTGTTTCTATTCTAGGCCGCCTTTTCAGCGGAATGTTTCCTGGCAGACAACGCAAGCTTAGCGCGTCCGGTGTGCCAGACACAAAACACGCCCAGGTGGGAAAGAGTACTGAGGTTTAAAAGCACAAGTGGAATGCTACAGAACGTGTAAGCACGTCTCCTCGACTGATGACGACTAAATTGATGTTTGTATACGAAGTTTTCTCTTGTCTATACTCCTCAATGTATGTTATCGAGTCATAGACTAAAATGCGTTCAGTTCATTTGTTCTAAGGACAGATTCCTGAAAGAACATATTTGTACAACAAAATTTCACTGAAAATTAAAATATTTAAATATTACTAAATTTATTGATCAACCAATCAATCATAGGCCATGGTGTCCCACTGCTGGGCAAAGGCCTTCCTCAACAGCTTTCATCTTGCACATTAGCTGGCCAAGCGGTACTAATCTTTATGGAATCCTTCGGCATCGTTCCTGTTTTTTTTTTAATAGAGACTTAATACTTATCTACCCGTATGAAGCCAGGACAAATTGCTAGTATTACTAGCAATTCGTATAAATGGGACAATGTGAAAGCCCTAATTTTATACTTGTTCATACCAGATTTGCATTAAAGATGTATAATATTACATGCATTTGATTGTATGTATAATGTATGGAAATGACAATTGGTACTTTTATAGTTCCCATAACAATAAATAAATATATAAGCAAAGGTACAACTAAATAAAAAAAAATTGGTACCTAATATAAAATGTTGTGTCAGGAATCTGGTCTTACCTAATAACGACTCGCTCATAGCCGCATTCGATAGTTCAGACTTTTTAGAAGTTGATCTGATTTATAATCTCTTATATATATATTATAAAAAAAAGTATGCGATTCTGTGACATTTTTGTGACACTTTTAAGTCACATTCTTAATACAGTAAGGACTTAAAATTGCCAGAATGTATTTTCTTAAATACTAACCCAAAAAGAGCAGGTTCGATAACTAGATAAGAAATACACCTCATTTTCTTACATTTATTATATTGCCTGAGGAAAAAAGTATGATTGTTCTTAACTGAGTTGTAAAATCTGCTTTCCGTCGTCTTTAGAAATCTCGTATTTCTATTATTAACGAAAAATCATTTTTTTGTCTTATTGGTATAAACCACAAAGTCGGTTTTCATTTAAAATTGAATTAAAGTGGTTTACAAATTTAGTCTACTTTTCTTTAATTCGTGTTTCCAATAAAATTAATTTCGCTAATTCTGAGTTACGTCCATATTCTGTTATATTTTTTAAAACTAATAATGTATTGTGTTTTGATTTATATAATTGACAATCTGGCATAGTTTAGTCAACTTCAAAGTCTGAAATGTCAATATTCAATTCTAATGTGTATTATGTAAAATTGGTTTTTGTTTAAGTGCCATCCTTCTTATGTCATTTATTATATACGAATAGGAAATTGTGTATATGGTTTTGTTTTTATTTATAATAAATTACAATTAAGTATTGAAATTTTAATAAGAATTTTGATAGGACTTGACTCGCAAGCAATAATTGGGACTAATTTACGCCGTTACGTTTTGGATAGGTACGACGGAAAATTCCTCGTGACCTTAAGCGTTATTCACACGAGTCTGGCTCTGAGTTTTATTAAGAAACATACTTACTGTTAATCAGCGATCATAAAAAATGTTTGCATACGTTTTTGTCCTGAATATGAGCTAGAGTTGTGGGAATAAGGCTTTAGTGTGAAAGACAATTTACGTTTGTCATGATTCCATCTGTGCTGCATTAAACAAAGTAAAAATGAAATCGTTACCATCTTTTGAAGGGAGTGTTGTACCAGTAAAACTGAATATTTTCCCCAAAAAAATATGCCTCGAAAAACAACAAAGAAACTGAACTTCCCATACTAAGATCTCACGTTCAAAGGGCCATGAAAATTTTTCCGGAATTTTGGGGCTGAACCAAACATGAGTTCGATCTTAAATTCAATATACTATTTGAAAATGTTAAAATATGTCCTTTTGTACTTTTACGTTAGGATTTATGACGATCCAAACATTGTGCTAGATTTAAGGGGCCGATTTCGCTGTAACCGAAAACGCGAAATTGGAGTCGAAATTTCTTTTTATGGTAAACAATCTGGTGTTTAATAAGTATTGGAGGTTCAAAACTGTATTTCGATCTGTCTGTTTTTGAAAATGTCCATTTTTACCAGTAGTATACTCTCTTAAAAGGATGTTAACTATTTCGGCTTCACTTTGTATAATTTTTAACCGACTTCATTAAGAAGGAGGTTCTTAGTTCGATTGTATTTTTTGTTACCTCACAACTCCGTCAGTTGTAAACCAATTTGAATAAAAAATTTTCATATAAAAGAATATACTTACAGATTTTTATCAAAATCGATCAGTTTGTTTAGACGTTAGTAATATCAAAATTTATATAGTAATAGATTTTGGCGCAACTGAAGTCGGTTTTTTGGTGGAACACAACCTTTTTTATTTTTTGTACTTCTTATTTTTTTTTTGTTCTTCTGATAAGAGACAAGATATTACAAATAAAAGAGACGACACATTGTGTCAAGAGTAAAAAAATATATATATGCGAACGTAGTACTAAAGATTTCCAATACAAAACATTACATACATTGTATTTATTGGAACGTATTGAAATTCGACTGTACGTTTGAGATATCATTAAAAACAATACTTTTATTATTATAATTGTTGTTGTACTAGTGTATTCATGCCTAAATTAAATAAAATAAAAAAAAAATAGGCAAAATGGACAAAATGCTGGTGAAAGAAGCTCTAACATTCAGGGTAAAGGTTTTATAACGGTGTACTGGTTTTGTAACGATGGTAGGGAATCCAAATATTATGCTATACTTAGGGATAGTGACTTCCTAAAATAAGTGCCAATATGGTGTCTCGGTCTTTCCAAATTTTTGGTACACTTTATAACTTCATTTATGACAATATAATTGCGTTTTATATAGGGATATCTTAAAATTAAATATGCATTTTTGCATTCTAAAATACATATACTCGTATATAAATATAATTGAGTTACTCGATTCTGATGGAGATTTGTATTAGATTTTTTATTTTAAACAAACGTATAATTCAAACAAATATCAACACTGTTACATTGTAGAATAAAATATTATTTTCCGTGAAATAAAATAACATTAGAAAGTATTTTGCTATTACGATATCTAAATTTTAGTTACCTTTATTAACTTTTGGATAAAAAAGCTTAAAATAACGGTTACGCTAAAAGAGTATTGTGTATTCAAAAATATTATAATCTATCAGTTATAATAAAAAAGTTATATAAATAAATTTTGACGAAATATAATAAAATGGGATAACTATAACAAACATGGGATATAAGAATATAATTATAACAAAACGGGACTGGCCAGTCCTATTTATTAATTCGTATAAATTTTGGGTCCATTTTTTGGAAGTAGAAGTTGTAAGGTAGCAGATACGATTAATGGTATTCGTTCGGTTTCAAGAAATTTTATATTATTTAAATAGTTTTTATTTCATTTTGTGTAATGCAAATGTAAAAGAATATTTTCATTAAATATTTATTTCATTTCAATACAATTCAAATGTTAAAATTCATCACTTTATTAATAGACAAAAGAGACGAGAGAGGGCGCAACTGTGACGTGTAATAATAATTAAATAAAAAGCATTTATCATAACTTTCGGTTACATGTTACCAGAGACAAAGTATTACATATTTCTTTATTAAAAAAAAAATAATAGATTTTATCTTAGCATTCGCGAATTCATGGTATTTCTTAAGAATAATTGTATATACGTTCGGAATAGTGGGTACAATAATAAAGTGTAGGGTCACACTAATTATTTTTTTCAGCACACAACAGTATAATCTTGATACTTTATTCACAGTAAATTAAAATAGTAATTATTATTATATAAAAAAACGAATTTATTCAATATTGTTGATGAATTTTATTAGCTTATTATATAGGGCATTTGAAAATTCGAATAGGCTAATAACTTTCTATAACCTTATACGTGATTTCGAGGTTTTGTATCTCGTCACGGGTTTACTTCTATCGAATGTCCATTCTCAAAATTTACTGACTAAATATATGACTATCTTCCAGAGACTTCCTATTTGCTAGACTGTACAAGTATATAGTCTAATCATAGCGTTTGGGATATCTAAAACGCATGAGTTAACGTTACCGTTTTCCCTGAAAACTTACCATAAATATACTTAAATAGTGATATAAGTAATAATTATGACTCGTGGCCGGTCGGCAAACAAGTCGTGAATATAAAAGAAAATATATTTGAACAATAGAAGGAAAAGTTATTAGGAAATTATGAAAAAAGTCTTCTACCTGAGTCTACATAGATAAAGAAAAAAATATTCACGATTTCATTAAAAAATATCCAATATCTATTAGACCGGCCAATAAATAAAAAAAAAAATGTTGATTAATATAAAGTAGCTACTGTTGACTTTATACCGATTATAGGCTTGTTGTTTCTACTGTTTGATACATGGGTAGATAGAAAATAATCAACTTGTTGAAAAAAAAATACCTATTTTCCGTACTCTGACGATGTCTTTCTCATCTTTCAATTATACTTCAATTAATTGAATTAATGATAATATATGTATTTATATTAATTCTTTCTGAATTTTTGAATAATAAATTCCATTATTTTTATAAGTATTTGGTTGTAAACAATACCTTACTAAAAAAAAACAGTCTGTACTAAAGTACTTCATACTAAAAAGAAGTATATATTTAAGTAATCTGGAAATTCTGTTCTTACATGTTAACTGATTGATTTAAATGTATTTTTTGTTATGTAATTTTTTTTTTTAATATTTTCGCTTCTAAAATGACCCAATAAGACCATTTTAGGCAGTATCATGTCCATGTTCTATCTTGTCCCCTCCTCGAGTATAAATATCTAGTTTAATCTGTCCAGTTTGAATTACAATGAATCTCCTAATGTACTGCGTATATTCTAAGTGTACCTTTGATTTTTGTACTTTAAGATTTACAGTCAGCCGCACTTGTACATTAATTGTTAATTTTCAGTTTTGTTATTTTTTTTTTATATTCTGATAATGTCCATTGATAAAAAGAAATTATATTGTTTTGTTTTTGTTAGTTATGTATCTGTGAGGCCGACTGTACATAATTTACATCTGTATTAGTACTAAAAATAATGTAATGCATGACAAAAGGAAAGGAATTGATTAAATGTTTCTTGGTTGAATTTTAACCCTTATATAATTATATTGTAATATAATCCAATTGTAATCCTATTACGGGCTGGTACTTTAAATACGAAAAATTATAGTTTTTTTTTTCTTTATTAATATAAAAAAAGTTATATTTTTTTTTAATGAGATGTGATTATTGACACTTGGGTATTGTACTTTCACAAACTGGTGCATTTACCTTAATTATTAAACGTATTGATAAATAAAATCCATTAAATAAAGTATCAGCCCTAATTTTTGCGATGAAACGCAAGTAGTTCTGACGTTATTTCAAGCGAAAAACGTCACTCGTTTAGAGATATGATTTGTGATAAATTATAGTGCGTTGCGATTGACGAATAAAATTGTGGTAAATACATTCTTTGGTCAAATGTAACCTTGCAATACAGCATATTGTAAATTTCTGCGTATATCGGAACGCACCATAATAATTTTGTGTGAAATTTCGAATTGCTTTTGTAAATTTCGCTTGAAACCAAAGATGTATTAATTTTTTGTGTTCACTTAAAAACTTTGAATTGAAAAATTCCTTTTAAATAAAAAAAAAAAAAAATATTACTCAATTAATGCATGCTCTTTTCGAATATCTGTAAACATGTGATACCAGTAAGCGTGTCATAACTTTGCTGGCGTATTTTTTTTAATTCGAAAGTCAAATTCGTGCCTCCATTTTGTCGTTATATGTACCAATTCTTCGGCGAGGTACACTCGTGTATGTTTTAGTTTATAATTCTAATACAATGTTTAGTTTTCTGTAACATACTAACTTATCCTTTAACATATATGTATATTAAAGAGTACATTCTAATATATATCCCTTAGTTATATAATTGTTATATAAATTAGACTAAGCAATAAACGCTGATGCGTCAACTTATATGTTGTATGATAATATTGTTGAGAGATGCTACCGCTAAGTCACTTACAATAGTTTTATTTAAAAAAAAATACAAAATGATAATGTATTTATTTATTAAATATGAATTAACATTCATGAGGAATATGTTTGTTTTATTTCGCATGTACTGCCAACTATACCCAAATCTTATCTTACCTTACCTTAATAACCTTATAACCACAGTTATGCATTAGTGATTTTTTTTAATGGATGGTAATGGAATGTTTTTTTTTTAATGGTAATAATATTATGGTAACCCTGCGTGCGCTATCGGTATACACTGGCGGGGCACCAGTGAGTGATGATAGATAAGGAAGAAAGATCAGTTAGCCTATCCTGACGAATTCATCTAGAATTAACCACGGTTTGTTTCCAGGGGGAATCATGTGGAGGTCGACCTGACCACCACACACCCTATATTGTTAGCAATTGGACTGGTAGTCCGCAATACTAACAATCCCTTTTCATCCGCTTTAGTGATATTTTAAGAAGTACGCTGCTATTAATCCCTCGGTCATTAAGTTCCCTCAGTAGCTTTTACGATAATCGGGGGAAAGAAAGGGGTAGTTCTATGCCGGGACCACATGGCAATTACGAGTATGATTGTACAAAATTGTATTGTATTTGTATTGTATTGTATTGATTGTGATTCGTACAAATTATATTAATTTTGATTTAAACCTATTGGAAATTTAGTTCATATTGGTTTGCTGTTATAACAAATTTGAGATTTTAATTTTTAAAGACGGGTTTAAGGGCGACGCCTGAGAGTCTATCGGATTTTTTTTTTATTTTCATAGCTAATTATAGTTGTTTTTTATTACAATATCACTGATCTCAATCGGATTTCTTTTGTAAATATCACATCGACTTGTTTTATTTTTTCAAAAGGAGTTTGGTCTTATTTACTATTGAAGTGAAAAGCCACAGAGTGGACAATGATATGTTGCACTTATTAGGCTTCGCACCGCTCTAAGCTGCGCTTAGCGATATACATAGTTACACTGTACGAATGTATGTGTGATAAACGTCATGACTTTTCTAGGTGGACAGACAAAAGTGCTGTGGAGCATAGAAAAAATGTATCTATAATGGAGGTCAAAAGGGCCTATTCTAAATTGTTAATTCTGTATTGATCTTATTTTTGCAATCGCTAGGATTTACTTCTGTCTTGTCCTTTGAGTTCCTCATCCTGGAAAGGAAGACCAGAACGAGTGTTACCTACTGACTGTATGCAATGCATTTTCTATGCTCTTGCCCCTTGCTTGCTCTTGGGGGTTCTTACCCCCAAATATATGTAGGTTGCCTATAAACAAAAGATGTCTCCCGTATTAATCCCATATTAATTTTGTTACTACTAAAGGCACTGATTTTTTTTTGTGAAGTTAAAATCTTATATATCATTATGCTACAGAGGGAGACTTTGTACAAAAATCGAATGCTTGGGTACCTCTGTCCCATTCGTGTTTCTACCGTGAAGCAGTTGTGTTTGCATGGTTGTGTTACGGGTTGAAAGGTGGGATATGCCGTGAATTTACAGGGTACAGAGGAATAACACCCGTTGCCATTCCTGAGGACTCCCTCAGGAATGGCAACGCATGGGGGGTATCATGGGCGAAACAGTATGTGTGTGTACTGTTATGTCCATGGTACTGCTCATGTCTGTAGGCGATGGTGACCACTTTCCATCAGGTGGGCCGTCAGCTTGTTTGCCATTCTAAGTCGTATAAAAAAAACGTATTCAGAAGTATTTTATTTGCCAAAAAAAAAATATAGAAAGACCGTTTATATATTACTTTAAATGGGAATATCTCATTTGATGGAAAGCAGAAACTGTGGCTTATACATAGAGACTGAGGGTTTTACTGACTAAATTCTGTATCTAGTAATTTCACTACTGTATCTCACCTTAATTACAAGCTAGTAGAAACCTCTGGCGACCAGAAGGCTGGCCTATACTTTGGTCAACGCATTTTCATAGCTATTCAGCGTGGAAATGCAGCAAATCTCCTAGGTACCCTACCAGCTGGCGGTGATCTTAAGGAAATTTTTTATCTTTAACTATTAAAATTTATTCCATTAGAAACTTTTTTTTTATAACAATATGTATTTAAAATTTATGACCTAATAAATTACAAGTTATGTTCTGGTAGTGAAATTACTGGATACTGTAACAAGAAATATTCGACATCGCGCGAATGATACCTGGATTCATGGCACTTGATGTGAGATTTTTTTCGTTTGACCTCACTACCTTCTATCTAAGGTGAGAGTTAGAGAAATATGATGAGTTTTATTGATGATGGAGTGATTTCCCCTCCTGTATTACTTGTTTACTCATCAGATTTGTAATAATTAAATTTATTTATAATCCGACTTAAAAAAGAAAGAGCTCTCAATTCGGTTGTATTTTTCTATGATTTTTGGAAAATTCTTTTTCTTATATGAAAGGATATATTTACAGATTAGCCCCATAGAAATTTTATCAAAATCGGTTAAGTAAATAGTTTAGTTTTTATATCGAAGTAACTAGTTTTGTTACAATCAAAGTTGGTTTTTATTGTAAGAAACAATCTTTAACAATTTTCTTAACTTACGTTGTTTTAAAATAAAATAAAATTAAAAAGTTCATATTTTCATGTAAAAAGAAAAATTAAAGAGTGCGGCTGCTCTAAATCTTTTTCTATTCCGCGTGGGCCAATGTATCGGCAGGTATTCACTTCAGTGCTGGTGACCACGTGACAATAGTTACCGTTTCCCGTTTCAATGTTTCATGTTCATTATTAATTGTATTAAACAAACCAATTCAAACGAACAGTGTATTTTGGAGGTATGTATTTTTTTTATAATGTATTTTTTTTAAATATAATCTATACTAAGACATGTATTAAAACTGAAGAATTTGTTTGTTTGTTTGAACGCGTTAATCTGTGCAATTGCCAGTCAAATTTGAAATTTTATTTCTGCATTTGACAGCTTATTTATTAAGGAAGTTTATGTAGATTCAACATCACGATACAACCACGGGAAAAGTCGTAGGATACAGCTGATGAATATATATTTTACATAATGGGATATGGCTGTGAAATTACAGAAAATACAGGCCATAATACGATAGTCCTCAGGGCTATGGGTGTCAACGTATGCTCTGTGATGTTTATAGTGCTATTCAAGTCTATAAGCGACGGTTACCATTTTCCATCAGGAGGGATGTCAGCTTGTCTGCCATTCTAAGTTGCATAGAATGGTCAGATAGCACGATTCCTTTTCAGTTTTTGGATGGAAGCAACTAAATAAACAAAATCACAATACGCTAGTATAGGGTATAGAAGGGATTGTTAATAATGAAGTGAATAGTTCCCAATACTAATTTAATAAGAATATTACTATATTTATGGAATTTAAATAGTACATAAGTAAATAAATATTCCAACAGTGGGACCGATTATTAGGTGCCATTTATCTAAATTTATTTCTTAACACAATATTTAAATTTAATAGTTACGTAAAATAACTCTTTTGTAGACTATCTGTATCTTAAATTATAAAATAGTTAACTTAAGTCTGTCAGAAAATTAGTTCATACTATTTCTTCCAATAAATATTTCGCTGTGACAACAAATTTAAACTTTAATTTTAGAGACGTTTTCACAGCTATAAAATCCAATAACGTAATGTCAAACTCACGTCACTTCTCTTACTGTACTAAATTTATCTCCTTGCTTTTAATAAATTTTACGTGCACATAAAATATTATTTGTCGTCTATATTCATTAAACTTTCACGAAGCATTCAACACTTTATTTATTTTTGTCACCAAAAGAATATTAAATTAAAATTTAGTAACAAATAAAATCGTGCCATTTCAACTGTCATATGAAATGACAAGCTGTCAAACTTTTGGCGCCAAAACAGTTACCGCCAACGAACGCGTGCTCATAACTGCTTCGTTTAACTAGTAAAAGGGAAAAAAACGACACAAATTATCCTCATTTAGTGGTAATTTAATAAACTTAACTAAATTATAGGCATTTAATTCAATTTAACTCTCCGTTGACGGCGCGAGTTGTAAGTTATATGCGGTCAATCACCTCTATTTTCTAACGATGTTAGTGAAGATTATAAATATGAAATATGAGTTTAGATTTATGTTTTAAGATAAGTACTTAATTATACCTACTTTTTTTAAAAACTAAAGGATCTAACAATGAAAGCATTAATTAGAAATTCGCGTTGTATATAACTACATAAGTAGACTGGATAATTACTCGTATATAAAAAAAATTGTAAGTGTATGAAAAAATAAATGTACTTTTAGGTAATTTGCCGATATTGAAGAATTCTAATCTAAAATAAATTGACTCCTATATCATCATCATCCCATGTCAGCCGTTAACTATCCACTGTTGAGTATAGGCCATAAGATGCTAGGGTGCCCCATAGGATATATCAAGAGAAGAATTCATGCGCCACTTTAACTTAAATAAATTGAATGTTGGTCTTATTCAATCTATGTTAGCTGAACTTAAACCAGAAATTTTTGAACATCTCTGTAAATTATTGATGCCCATTAATTCTTCTCTTTCCGCGTCTAGGGAAAGTAGATAAAGTTTTGTTTGAGAAATCAGTTCAGGGTACAATAGGACTGATATACCTAAAAAAGGTAAAAGCCCTTAAAATAATATTAAAAAAATCATATCAGCCCTTAACTGTCCACTGCTTAACACAAGCCTCTTCTTGGGGATTTTACCAATAGTTACTACACTTGGCAGGTGGATTGGAAACCGCAGTTAAACTTTAGAGATGTTTTAACAGGGACGTTGTTGCCTATCACTCGCCCTCCCTTAGTCGCCTCTTACGACATCCACGGGAAGGGATGGCCTTTTCAGAGCCGGGACCACATGGCGGCACTATTATATATACTAAAACTATGTACAATTGGGGGGAGAAGGGGTACCAGTAGTTGTCACGCTTGGCAGGTCGATTCGTAGTTTTATGTATCGCTATTTCGATTTCGTTCTAAGTATAAAACAAATATGGTGATCAACATATAAGCCGTAAACTGTCCATAGCTGAACAAAGGCCTCCCCTATCGTGGACGCTATCGCTCATCCCTCGACAATTATGTTGCCTTAGTCGCCTTTTATAACACCTACAGAAAAGGAAGGGGTGGCATATTCTATGCTAAGACCACACGATATATCAGTGGAGGAAATTGGTAAACTATGGCTATAGTAATCAAGTTTTTAGCTAAACATTTTGAGACGTGCCAATAAATCGTTAAGATCAAAATGTGGGCATTCACATTTACCTTCAGAATTCTAGATGCGTCCATGACGTTCTTTTACCTACTTTACCGTAGGCGTAAATATTTTAGTGAGTTCTCAAAAACTTCGCTACACTTACAAGTTCGATTCGAAACCTCTGGAATGTTTGATTGGTTTTTTCTCAGTTTGGACAACAATATAGAAACAGTATATATTATGTATTTGGCACTTCAACTTTTATATGGAGTTATTTTGGCTTCTATGTGTGAAGGTGCTTTTTTATGTGAAAATTTTGCATCTAAACTAATCTTAATAATAATTCAGGCAATTTGAAAAATTGTCGTTCAATTCGTATTTATAACTTTCAAATAGTTAACTTTCTGATATCTTCATACATTCATGTCGCAATAATACTTATGGTATACGTACTAACATAACTATTATTTTCTCCTGGATTTATAAAGACTTCTAAGTTTAGTATATTTTTATAATAAACTTTGAGTAGATATCATCATTATTATATCAACCTTTATCTGTCTTCTGCTGAACATATGCCTCCCCCTATTAGGGGATTTTACCAGTAGTTGCCAATTGGCAGGCGGATTGACAACCGCAGTTAGGCTTTGGTGATGTTTAAAGAGGGACGCTGCTGCCCGTCTACTATACTGTCGACCATTAATTTCTCTCAGTTGCCTTTTACGACATTCACGGGCAAGAAGGGGTGGCCTATTCTATTACATAGCTAATTCTATTATTGGTATCATGACCAAATATCATGACGGTTAGTTAAGTCGTTAAGACACTAAATAATCACTTTTAGACTTCAAATATTAGTAATAACTCAAAAAAATAACTATGGCTATGTCTACGCTTTATTTGTATTCCTTATTAATGAATTTAATTAAGAGTCATTTAAGAAGAATGAAAATTGAACACATACTCCAGGTACAATGCAAACATCTATATAAATCAACAATACTATTTCTAATGCAAATTATAACGTTGTGTTTATTTAAAATAACGTTACAGAATGGAGGAGTCTTTGGACGGGCGCGAAGGTGGCGCTAGCACTTCGGGCTTTGACTCGGCAGCCATTTTGAATGATGACGTATCACCAACAACTAGTTTCTGTTATAACATACCAAATCTTTTTAATGGGTAAGTTGCCACTTCGTATTGTATTTTTGACTGTATTTTTTTATGTCATGCGATATCTTCATCATTTGTGAACACTGATATATTTTTTTTATTTCAATGATTATGAATTATTTTTAAGTGTTATTTATAATAAAAATATGATTATAGATATATATTATTTCGAAGATTTTAATATTCTTGTAATGTTTCTTGTAATTCTTCACGGCTCTGGGTGGTCTGAGTTGTGCCTAGATTATATATCTTTCAGAACACAGGGTATACTAGCTGAACAGGAAATACGTATCGCAAGACATGCGTGAATAAAATAGCAGTCGGAGATTGATGGCTTTTTTTTTAAACAACTTAGAATGGCAAACAAGCTGACGGCCCACCTGATGGAAAGTGGTAACCGTCGCCTATAGACACGAGCAGTACCATGGACATAACAGAGTATACTGTTTCGTCCCTGATACCCCCCATGCGTTGTTATTCCTGAGGACTCAAGTGTTATTATACCAGGAGATTAGTGTTGTTGATGTAATGTTTATAATATTTACCAGCCTAGGCCCAGGTTCGGTCTTGTGTGAACGGACAGACAACGACGAGAGTTATATTAACCCAGATCCCTCGGAAGAAGCATCAGAACACCAGCAGTTCGAAGATGATGAAGAGTATTCACCAAAATCAAGTTTGTAACTTTTAGACAATTTTTTAAATTAATAAACTTAATGAAAGATGAAAAAAGAAGAATTATGTATTTTTTTTTTAATGGGTGAAAATGGTATGGTAGCCCCGCCTGCGCTAACGGGATATGCTAGCGGAGCACCAGTGAAGGATGATAGATGAGAATGAAAACAGGCTAGTTAGCCCATTATGATGAATTCATCAGGAATTAACCATGATAGTTTCCAGGGGGAACCGCGAGGAGGTCGACCTGGTTGGGTATATTGCTAGCAATGGGATTCTCAGTCTCCATTACTGACAATCCCTTTCCCCCCAGAATTATGTATTTATAATGTGAATGTAGAAGGAATACAATATTTTCTTGTATATCTACTTGTAAATGTATATACTCATCTTGTATAACTGAAGGATAGAGGTTTGAACTCTTTTTTTTAATATGAAATGGTAAACAAGTTGACGCATACAAGAACGAGACATGTTGATTAATATTTAATGTCAACGAACCCAGATTATGAACTAGATAATTTGCAATAAGATGGAGCGTCTAATATATAAAAAGTCTTAAAAAACTCGTATTGTTAGCTAGCGGTTATTATGCATTGGAGTAATTAAAAAAAAAGTACACCCATTGTCTGTGTCGCATCGCCAGATCAAGTGATTATTTTTATTATGAATTGATAACTAATATTTTTCATGTAATATAATAAATACAGAGAGAAATTTAAATCATTAGTATCCTTTTGAAGGAGTATTTAACCAATTAATTTAAATATTTCCTAAAAGGCTGAAAAATTACAAAATTTTTAGACCATATTGATGTGACGGTTGAACACATCATGTTGGTATGTATGACAGACACATTTTTTGAATTTTAATGCAATAACAATCGGATTATGTAATAACTTATCTATATTTTAGTCGAGAAAGCTCGACTAGTTTCGAGATCATTCGGGGCCCTTAGTTATTAGCAGCCGTGACGTGAACGCGAACTTTAGGTATTCACGGTACCCAAAATTTTTAGTCGATAATCTAAATTATAGTTTAGTCATTATTGAAATGTAAATAATAATTAATTTATATTCTTTCAGATACTAAAAGCGATATACCGAAGAGAAAACAAAGGAGGTATAGGTAAGTATTAGAAACATACACGTAGTCTGGACTTCGTTAGGAAGTGCAATAGGCCAAATCTAAATTTTTTACAGCCAAACAAAAAACTACTGCACTTTAAACTTAAAACCTGGTATATGTTTTAGTTTGGTATGCCATCTAGAAGCAGTTTATTTCATTGGATTTCCTCTTTCCAAAATCCACACATACAAAGTCACGAGCTTTACATTTTTGAAATATTTACTAGCTAGTGACTTACTATCTATTAGAATATTAATAATGTGTACATAATTTTAGGACAACATTCTCAAATATACAGTTGGAGCAATTAGAGGCTGCCTTCCACAAAACACATTACCCTGATGTCTTCTTCAGGGAGGAACTAGCCATGAGGATAGATTTGACTGAAGCCAGAGTTCAGGTAATCTTGAATGCGCTTCAAGTATTTCCAAAAATCCTCACTTAATAATCTATTAACGTTATAATAAAGGGTTTAGATCTCTCTCCATAAAACTATTCTTACTTACTTATTACATTACTCACAAATTATTAAACCTTAATCGACTCTTTATGAATGAACATATATTACATTTTATGATCCTTGTTACTGAATTAGGTGTTTGTATATTGCTGATAATTATTGTTTCATTAGAATTATATCTTTTTATTTCTCTATTATTACTATATTTAAGCGACTGTCAACTACGACCGAGGACTTGACTACTATTAGTCCGTTATGATCTTTCTAAGTCATTAATATCTGGCCGTTATTAAGTCTATACTCATTTTGTAATTTTATTTTAACTAAATATTTAATGGCTTCAATTTAAATTACAGGTTTGGTTTCAAAACCGACGTGCTAAATGGCGCAAGCAACAAAAGTCGGGCTGTGAAAGTTATCCACCGCGAGGACCAAGATCTCCGAATGAGAGATCTCAATCCGCTTTGGCGCTTGAGATGCGAGACTTTATTACTATACCTGGTTAGTAGTAAAAGTAGAGTCTAAACTCTACTTTTTATTTACTGATACTGCATTTGTGCAATATACATAATATTAACGGTTGAAACACAAGACATAAATTACAACATCCCACTCAGACGAGTTATACTACAAATTTCGTCTGTTTGGACTGGAGTGGGATGTTACAATATTATCTATATCTACCGCAAACATGTATAGATTATTAATTTCAATTTGTAATGAAAATATATGTAGGCAGAGGGTTATGTAATGTTAGACCTTTGGCTTTGGTTTGTTTGGATTTGGTTTGATATCACAACAATAATATTAATGGCATATTACTGTTCACAGTATCATCCACTCAAATGATAAATACAGCTGAAACCACACAAAACAACTATGCGAAGAAACAAGCTGAACCTGCCATTCACATTGCAGCATTACCTACAAAACAAAACCCACAGGGTGATCTTCCATCTTTCTCCATACCACTCCAATACAATCTTGGAACCTTTAAGAAAATTGGTGAAGAAGTCCATCTTAATTTGGAGACAACAGATAATATGCAACAACCACAGTGGGATGCAAGGATGATACCAAACTTTAATATAATGAACCTAAAGCCTTTGTTAGAAAATAGGGAAAGTATTGATATAACTGAACTTAAATATGACATAAAAAATGAAAGTCGTGTTAATTTTAATGAAATAGCAAATGTAAATATTCAAGGAAATACTATAGAAGCTGAAGACATTTTAGGTAAAGAAACAGTGAATGAAGGTCAAACTATATCACCAGATTTTGGCATCGAAAGATATCAAAGTTATCATAATGAGAATGAGAAAAGATTTAGGGAATCTAGTTTTGATGCAGCTATGATGGAAGATGGAAGAAATGAGTTTGTTTGTGAAAGCGACTTTCTATGTAAAAATAACTTTGGGAAGCCCGAAGAGAAAAGCAATGAGTTCGAAAATTGTCATCTCTTAGATACTGATAGTAGTGTTGGAATTAGTAACTTTGAGAATAATTTATAAATATAATGAACGCCGTATGATCCCGGTATAGAATGAGCTACCCCTTATTTTCCCGTAGGAGTCGTAAGAGACGACTTAGGGAGCTTAATGATCAAGGAACCGGCAGCAGCGTCCCTCTTAAAACATCACCAAAGTCTAAATGCGCTTGCCAATCCGCCTGCCAAGCGTGGTAACGACTGGCAAAACTTCTCTTATGGGGAAGACCTATGTTCAGCAGTGGATAGTTAACGGCTGAAATAATAATAAATAAAAAAAGAAACTATATGATAATATAGTGAAATTATGTATTGGTGAAAATATGTATTGGTTTTTAATAAATAAATGCCATAAATCTCACCTAAGTATTTTCCTAAGTGTCAGGACTTTTTAAATCGTCTACCTTTTACATGAAGACCTAATTGGATCAGTCTTAACGACAATAGATTTACAAATCCTACAGTATTACTTGACAAAATTTAATACAATTGACTACTATATGGTATACGGTATCTAGTAAATAATATAAAGTTTTTTTTTTTTTGTAGAAATGTTATTAAGGACATATTAAGGAAAGTCTAAAAGATTGTAAGCTACATCTCATGTAAAGATACTAATGTCAATTAAGATAAACTGTAATAATTGATACGAGAGTATTTATAATAAAAAAAAAAAATTGAAAACAATGTTCATAATAAATAGTTAATAATAAACAATATTAAACTAAAATATTAAATTGTCATTAAAAAAAATTAAGCTCGGCAAATCATCATGAGATTTGGTACCAATGATTTGGGATGGAGAAGGACATAGATTTTTTTATCCTGAACATAATCCTGATCAGGAGGCCGAAGTCGCGGATAAAAACTAGTATTAATATAAATAATATTAGTTGATCCAACCCTCCTTTCAGGGGGGAAAAGGATTGTCAGTAATAAGACCTAACAGACCCATTACTACCCTAACAGGTCGACCTCCACGCGGTTCCCCCTGGAAACCATTGTAGTTAATTTTTGGTAAATTCATCACGATAGACTAACTGGCCTGCCTTTTCATTCTCACTTATTATCTCTCACTGGTGCCCCGCCAGTGTATACTGTTATCGCGAGCGTGGTACCATTTCATTATCTTCCATTAAAAAACCTCCTTTCATGGGTAGATAGAATTTTCGAAAATAGTATATGTTATTAGCTGTTGATGTAGCTTTCTATAGGTGAAAGGATTTTAAAAATCGGTTGAGTAATTGTTCTGAAAACCATTAGAAAACTAACACAATGAAAATGTTCCTTTTAATACAAGAGTTATTAATATATAATAATACAAGAGATATTATAATTCTAGTAGAAATACCTTGAAAACAAATAACGTTGCTATTGTGTTGGAATGTGAATAACGTTTGCACAAAGAAAAGAGATGAATATGTAAAATTAACTGCGTCTAACCAGACGCAGTTCGTTGTTTGTATTAGTACAAGTATATTCTATACTAACGAACCGTCCCGGCGTCGCACTGGTGGACATTTTTAACATTTCCCTTCACTGCTCTGCCACCTTTTAGGTGTTATAACAGGTGCGAGAGATGCCCATGCTACTGATATTGTAAATTTGAAAGTTGGTAAAGATGTTTAGATGTTTGTTCTCAAACGACTGTACCCACATTATATATTTATGTATTCTGGACAAACCCGCTGGAAGGATCTAGTAACGTTGGAAGAGGATTAAACAAAACAATTATAAACAATGGTCAAGGAAATGTATGCAAAACTGCGAAGGTGGCGCCACTGTATTACAACGTGATTAAAAGCAATTACAGATTGGAAGTCTAACGACAAAAAGTGACATAATTTAAAGATGTATTCCATAAAAAAAACCGAGTTCAAATGTGGCAAACCAGATTGTTTAATTTCAAAAACTAAATTACTGAACCGATTTGCATAGAAATTCTATGAGATCAAGCTATAAGTATGTCCTTTCAGATAAAGAAAACAGAATTTTAGAAATCGGTTTAAAACTAACAAAGTTATGAGGTAACAAATAAAAAAAAAATACTAACGAAACTGAAACCTCCGTTTTTTCGGTTGAAGAATATTTTAACGGCGGGAAAATAAAGTTTTTATTTAATATTTTGTTTTCATGCATGTGACATAGACTAAAGCAGAGGTGTTTGTTTACGTTGCAACACAATGGCGCCCTCATCAGGATAAATTGTCATTAAACTACGTAGCTATTGTTTCGTGCGGCTTTTTCTCTCGGGACCCGTTTTTTGCCCTTCTCATAGGAATAAAAAAAGAGTTATTATTCCTCGTGTACTGTTATACTGGGCTTAGGGGAAGGGAAGGGATGTATTAAAATTTTTATGTATTAAAATGAAATTATAACTTCGGCTTCGCTATCGGTATACGCTGGCGGGCTACCAATAAAATAGTAACAATAGTAACATATCATAAATGAGGATGAAACCAGGCCAGTTGGCTCAGCGTAACGAATTCATCAAGATTAAACACTATGATATACAGAGGACACCACGTGCAGGTCGACCTGATTGAGCATTGTTAAAATTTCCCCAGGTTCATTGCTGCTAAATGAAAACAAATATTTTTTTTTATGCAAATTAGAATGATAAACAAACTGATGTCCATTAGGTGAATGGAAAGTGGTAATTGTCGCCTATAGACATGGAAAAACAAAGTATACTGTTTCGCCCATATACCCCCCATGCATTGCCATTCTTGAGGACTCAGGTATTCATCCTCTGTATTCTGTAAATTCACTGCCATATTCCACCCTTCAAACCAAAACAATAACTATAGACACAAAATTTTAGCCCCAAATGCATACCCTATCCATTTATATCGAAATATATGGAAAGCATACATTTCTTGCTATATCTATTTCAATAATTCCCAATTTACCGTAATTTTTAAAGCACAATAAAAGCATTTGTCACAATTGAAATCGGTTTTTTGTGGGGAAAATCTTTAATTATTGAAACTTCCATTTATACGTGCGAAACCGGGCCAGATCGTTAGTGGACAATATTTGTATAGGAACCATTACGTATTCCAGATATACTGCCCGGCTTTGAAATAGTGTACTATATTTATAGCTTCCAGAATAACATCAAATTGAGCAAATCGATACTACCGACTTGTACTTACTGTTATTACTAAAGTAGCTTTTGAGCGTGACTTCGTTAGCGTAAACACGCTTTACAGACGAATAGCCTGACTACGTTTGCCAATTCGTCTGTAAAGCGTGGCAACTACTGGCAAACCCCCCAAGGGGAGGCTTATGTTCAACATTAGACAGTTGAAGGCTAATATGATGATGATGATGATATGATGTAAAAGCCCTTAAATATTTTAAAAATAATAAAAATAAAGTCTATTAATTAAATCAAATCATACACCATCAATAGATAATACTGATCGCATCGATGTACCCCTTTTTTTTATGGGTGAAAATGGAATGGTAACCCCGCCTGCGCTAACGGGATACGCTGGCGGAGCACCAGTGAAGTGTGAGAGATGAGAATGAAAACAGGCCAGTTAGCCCATCATGATGAACTCATCAGGAATTAATCATGACAGTTTCCAGAGGGAACCGCGAGGAGGTCGACCTGGTTGGGTATATTGCTAGCAATGGGATTCTCAGTCTCCATTAGTAACAATCCTTTCCCCCCACCGATGTACCCTGTTGTCCAGTGGTATGCTATTAAATTGGCTAATATTTATATAATTTTATCGTCTGCAAGCATCTACAATAATGCCAGTACAGGTCTTTTTATAGTATTTCTAGAAAGCTGATGAGTTACCGCATGAGTGGCGCTGATATTGATCTATTGCATGCGTCATGTAACTACTTAGTTGCAGTCCTTAAAAATAGTAACTTCTAGAAGCCAAGTTACTACCATCACTACAAATTTAGTTTTGAATTAAAATGATTAATTGAGTTTTATTTAATGGATTATAATGGAATGGTAATCTCTCCTGTGCTAACGGTACACACTGGCGGGGCACCAGTCAGGAATAAGTAAGGATAAAGAGGCAGGTTATTTAGCTCATCATCACGATGGGCTAACTGATCTGTTTTTTATACATTTGATATTCAGCAGGATTGTTTCTAGAGAGGACCGCGGGGAGGTCGACGTACACACACACACACACACACACATATATATATATATATATATATGAAGGTTAACTTGATTGGTATATTGCTAGTAATGGTCGCGAGATCGATTCCTGCACAGTACAAACATTCATATATTCATCTCTATAGGTTTTATACCTACATACATAATATGTCATTACGAGAGTAAAAAGTAAGTATTTCTATCAGTTTTTTAGTACCCATACTATCTTATTTAGTTTAACGTTAGATGGCGCTGTGTAAAATATGTGTAAAGATATTTATTTATTACTATTACTAACAATCCCTTGCCCCAAAGTGGAACGTTAAGGGATTATTATTGTGATTATAAACATGTCAGTTAAAAACAGTTACCCATAATCATCCTAAAATTTAAAAGCGAATTATACTCAATTAAATGTCCGCGTACGCAAATTAACTATTTAAACGGAACCTTATCTAAATGTGTGTAGGGTGACCGTCGGTCATTAGGTTGTAAACACCCTTTGTCTCGGGCCTTTAGGGCGACTGTACATGTACTACTTTGAAATGCTTCTTTTTGTAATAGATAAAGATGGGGGAAAGGGATTGTTAGTAATGGAGACTGAGAATCCCATTGCTAGCAATATACCCAACCAGGTCGACCTCCTCGCGGTTCTCCCTGGAAACTATCATGGTTAATTCCTGATGAATTCATCATGATGAGCTAACTGGCCTGTTTTCATTCTCATCTATCACCCTTCGCTGGTGCTCCGCCAGCGTATCCCGTTAGCGCAGGCGGGGTTATCATACCATTTTCACCTATCGAAAAAAAAAATAGATAAAGATGGAATAGTCCACCCGTCTATACTGACGGTTTACAATAGCAGGGTAGTGAAGGATGAAGTTAGTTAGCCTATGATTACGACTTGAATAGGGATATAGAGATGCAAGACTGTAAAATACTGTTAGAAGATCAATTTAGTTAAGATACATAGTTTTTTTTTAAAAACATAAGCTTATGAAAAAAAAAAAATTTTTTTATACAACTTAGAATGGCAAACAAGCTGACGGTCCACCTGATGGAAAGTGATAACCGTCGCCTATGGACATGAGCAGTATCATGGACATAACAGAGTATATTGTTTTGCCCATGATACCCCATATGCGTTGCCATTCCTGAGGACTCAGGTGTTAATCCTCTGTACCTAGTAAATTCATACCATATCCCACCCTTCAAACCGAAACACAGCCATGCAA